TCTTAGCTTCAAGCTCAGCATACTTCTTTCTAAGTTCGCTAATCTCAACTGTAAGTTTGGTATTTAATTCTCTTAGTAAAACAATTGTATATTGTGTGTCTGCCATCATTTTATATAAGGTGCAGACATATTCAATTCTTTATCATAGGGATAAAAATCTCTGAACTAAGTTCAGGAAGTGTAAAATGTCAAGAAAATTCTCGATAATGTATACTCAATGATATTAATGTATCCAGATCAATCTCAAAAATACACTTGTAAAAATGATAAAATAAATTCCTGAAATACACATGCAAAAGTAAACTGATTATTTATGCGAAATCAGCTTTATTGATATAATAAGTAAAAAATATATACAATGAATAGAACGTCAGAATGTAATAGTAGTATTATTTAAATAAATCTATATGCTAAAAGTACATAATATAAAAATACAAAGGTAAGGGTAAACTATCTATATATTAAATTATAATCTAATTTAAATTCTCTATTTTCATTTTCTAATATTAGAATTTGTTCAGTTAATCGATGTACAACTAGCTAAACAATAACTTTACATAAATTATGATAAGTTATTACTCCAATATCACATTCTGACGATATAGCCCTCTCTATCGCTTCATCCGAAATTCTATCTTCTTCAACGCCCACCAATATCCCAAACGAAAACCTCCCTTTTCTGACTACTGTATTCAAATTATTTTCTCTCCTTATCACGGTTTCTAATTCGTCAACATGTAACCGATCTAATAAATAATTATTGATTAGCCAAAGATTATTAGCAAAGCCTTTTAGTAAAACTAAAGAAATAGGACAGTATAAATATTAGCATACCTATATTTCTTTTATACCAAGCCTTACACTGTATTACGAATATAAATCCATAAACTTCACAAATAATGTCTTTTCCTTTATCACCAGGCTTTCTAAATTAATGATTAAGATAAGTATATGCATCATTATCATATAAAGTTAAGCAACATGTATCCTATTCATCATTAAATCCCCAGTTCAAAAGCTTCGGCAGGATCACTGGTAACTGAGAAGAGTTTTAATGAATCAACTTCGGATAAGTCTTTAGATTCGCTTCTTTGAGTTTGCATGTTTGATGTTAATTTATATAATATGTGAAAAAAGAATTTTACAGTACACATTTTGAGAAATATTTTTTCTTGATAGTTAATATTTTTTATTCAAATAAAAATTATGCGCGTTACAATTTGTCACGCCGATCACTTTTGCCAAGAAAATTCTTGATCATACAGTATGCGAGTAATGTACATCGAAATTATACAATAAAATAAATTCACGCAAAAGTAAACTAATTATGTATGTGCGGCCACTAGGGCCAGCTTTATTATATAAAAACAAAAATAAAACAATTTACAGGAATAAAATTATTTTTTCTCCAATTCTCTGCTTTTTTTCTTATTTAATCTCTCTGATTCATGCGAAGAACTTCTTTCACTTACCTTTCTTGTCTTTTTTTGAGTACTGTTGATTAAACACTACAAATTTGCGATTAAACCATTCTGCAAATTAATTTTTTCTAATTAGTAAATTACTAATTTTTAATAGGTTTTAAGACAAAAGTATACTTACTTGTATAGTCATTAAAGTATAAACAAATTCTTCTACCTCTTTAACGGATTCAAGTCCTAATAGGATTTTTGCTTTGGAAATTGGGAGATAATATTTTACCCTGTTTTCTCAGATTAATCCGTGAACTATTATATTTTCTCCTAATGATATATTCATGAATTACTAACCAATTTGAGTAAATAGATAGAATCCGTGACTTTACCTGCAATATTAATTCTGAAAGCAATATAATTTTTTCGTAAAATATCTTTTACATGCTTTTTCAAAACCTCTTTATAACCATCTATACAAAATCTCACTAATTTTTTGTGATCTTCGAGTATTTTATCTTTATTACAATTCCATTTACCACTTTCTGCATATACAATTTCATTCCATTTTTGGTCTAGGAGTGCTCGGATCATCAAATCTGGCCTGTTACCCCTTGCACCTTCCTTTACTCTGGCTTTACGATTTTTACTTGCTACGCTTTGACGTTCATTTCTTGTTACCTCAACTTCTCTATTAATTGGTAATTTATATGTGGCCACTTCGATTAGTCGAGCCACTACTTCCACAAGCGAATTCTCAGAGCCTCTAGAAACTCGACGGAAGGAATTTGATTTTATCAACTGCATGAGACATTCAGTAATGTCTCTAACAATCTGTTCTCTCTCACTTTCTTGTTCAACCCAGCGATAATGAACTACATTCACATCTTCTGCTATTACCAATTTGTATATTTTTTGAAATTCATCTCTTCGTCTGACAAATTCAGCACAAATATTTTTTATTGAAGCACTTTTACTTAATCTTCTTATCCCCGCTTTTTCTCCCACAAGTAAATCAAAGTCATTCTCAGATATTTCAAATCGATCAGAGCCGAGGCCAATCACACCATTCGACAAAGGATCATTACATTTTAAGTCATTAATATCTATTCCACACAATTTCTCTAAAAGTCGTTGATGCACTGGTGTTTCTCCATTCTTCTAACAGAGAAAAATAATAATCGGTTCGTATTTGTTACAGTTACACGGCCAAGCCGCTCAAGCCCGTGACTCAAGCCCGACTCAAGCCCGTGACTCAAGCCCGACTCAAGCCCGTGACTCTAGTCCGATTCAAGCCCGACTCAAGCCCGTGACTCAATTCCGTGACT